TGCCTCTCTCTCAGCCTCTCTGCCTCTCTCTCAGCCTCTCTGCCTCTGCCAGAAGGTGTGTGACACCACAACCCAGCTTAACAAAATCTTTCTTATGTGTTTCATATATGCGAATACACTGTCACTATCTTCAGACACACCAGAAGAGAGCACCAGATCCCATTACAGATGGTTGTGAGCCACCATGTGGTTGCTGGGAACTGAACTCAGGACTTCTGGAAGAATAGTCAGTGCTCTTAACTGCAGAACCATCTCTCCAGCACCAACAAAATCTTTAAAATGAGACAAAGAATGAACCTGAGTGAATTTTAATGTACTTTGCCTCCTATAAACAAGCTGAGGTCCATCTCCCAGTATTTTCTATTGTAGCCTTCCTTTTTCTCGTTTCTAATTAATACCTAAATATACTTTCTTCTCTTTAGCCCTTAAGTTTACATGTATAAAACTGGTGTGGATGACTTTCTTCTAGCTCTGGCTATATAATTAGTAACATAAAGACAAGGAGAAACTGATGAACTGGCCTGCCTCCATTGTAGGCTTAAAAGCTATCTTATAATAACGACAAACAAGGCTCATTTCTGTTTATAACTGCTCTATGCCCCACTTGTAACCTTAACTATAAACGGCTCTGTACTGCCTGTTCCAGAAAACTGTGCCTTATGTTTCCAACCATCTTGCAACCCTAACTTTGTTTCAGAAGGTTGTATAACTACCTGGGTTCTCACTGCCTTGTTAAGTTGTTGTTATGACTGCCTTGTTAAGACCACCTTGCAATCATGTCTATTTCAGGGGATCTTTGCAACTAATGTCTTAAGCTTATGTTCTGCTCCTGAACTCTGCCTATTTTGAGCACCAAATCCCCTACTTAGAAATCCCCTACCCGCCAGGCAGTGGTGGCTCATGCCTTTAATCCCAGCATTTGGGAGGCAGAGGCAGGCGGATTTCTGAGTTCGAAGCTAGCCTGGTCTACAGAGTGAGTTCCAGGACAGCCAGGACTATACAGAGAAATCCTGTCTCGAAAAACAAAAAAACAAACAAACAAAAAAAAACCCACCTAAATAAATGAATATATAAATAAATAAATGAAACTCCTCTGTGAAATTTTTAAACAGTACTGACTGGAAGTGAAAGTTAAATCTATGTTAACTATTTGATTAGAAGTATAAACTGTTACTATTTATGTTTATTTGCCTTCTTCTACAATTTTCCAAGGAGGAGAAATGGTGAGCTGGGAAACAACTGAGGCAAAAAAAAACCAAAAAAACAAAAACAAAAAAAAACAAACCAACAACTCGGTGAAGGTCCAGTGCCAAGTCAAGCTTCAATAGCCTAAGTCCCCATTGAAGGAAAGGCGGCCCTTTCCCTTTTTAAAGATGGCGCCCCTGGCGACAGTGAGGGCACGCGCGCAAAGCGCTCTGGGAGCGGAAGTCGACTGTGCGGCGGCGGTCAAACCGGAAGGGGAGGCGCTGGGGCCTGGAGGAGCGGTCTGTATCGCTGCGGTTGCCGGTGTTTGCGGGTTGCAGGGAGCCGGGCCGGCGGTCGGGCTGTGTCGCGATGCCGGAGCTGGCGGTGCAGAAGGTGGTGGTCCACCCCCTGGTGCTGCTCAGTGTGGTGGATCATTTCAACCGGTGAGCGGGTGGCGCGTGGCGGCCACTCGGCGCAGGGCTGCTGAGTCACGGGCGCGCCGGGCAGAAACGCGGCGGCCGGGGACACGGGTGGGGGGCTAGCGACCCCAGCGGCTCCACACCGCGATGCTCGGAACCCAGTGACAGCCTCGCACCCCGGCCAAGGCCGCCACTTCTGAGCCTAGCCCCCCTGTTGAGTGCCCGGAATCGGGACGATGCTAACCAGCCTCGGCCGCGCCTTTTACCAGAAGGGCTCGGCGCCGTAAGGCAGTGCTTTAGTCTCGTGTGTCCGTGCCTGTAAAAGCTGTCACCGAAATTCTGGTCTCGAAATCCCCGATGAACGATTTTCTGGATGAGTCAGTGATTGTAATCAAGTTTCTAATTGGGGTTCTGGTTGGATGGTACCTTTAAAATGTGAATAAGGTGCAGCTTTTTCCTCTAAAAATGAGGCAGATGCAGACTGGGGCCAGCCTACAGTTCACTTGGTTAGCTCACTGCCACCCTTGCCTTCTCCAGCCGTTCATCCTGCCAGACCTGTTGCACGTGTTCGGAAGTTTTACAAGATAATTAGTTGAGTTAACAAATATGAAGATCCAGGAGGGAGTCTGTGCTTGCTGTAAAGTCGCTCTAGTTCCTGGTCCGAACCAGGCTTTGTGCCGCTGACTCAACCAGAGCCAAAAAGCCGATCTCAAGACAGGTTTTTTATTCTGGGTTCAGTTGTGTTGCTCGGATGCCTCTGTCTTAACAGGCTCGGTGGGCTTTTCTACAATACATACGGTTTTACTCCCGCGGGATACTAGGGGTCCTAGTGGGGTGAGCACTGTTTCAGTTTTATTTTGACACTTGGTAAGAATCAAGTTGGGGCAGACACTGCAGACAGTTGTATCAGGGAACAGATGGAGGAGCTTTAAAGCTCCATGGATGAAGTTCCCACTGGCATGTGGAAAATCGTTGAAGTATTTTCAGTGGATTAAAGAAAGGAAAGAAAAATACATAGCCACCAGTAATACAGAACCCTTTATTTTGTTCTGCCTGTACTGTAAATTTAGGATACAGGCTCCATGTTAAGCAAAACACTACAGTTAAACTAACATGAAACTTGGGACTGTTGAAGAGGTATGCTGTTCGTTTTACTGTGGCTTGTGCGTTTCCTTAGCAGAGAATTAAGTTGTTTCCAAATAAGCAATTTGCTGGTAGCTAAAGAAAATAATTCTTTGCAGAGCAATATGCTCGAAGCTACTTAGCAGAAAATCATACAGGATGTTTGAGATGGAAGTTGTAAAGCAAAACCTTCTCACCCGTCCAGCCGTTCTCCCAGTGTAGACTGACTCTCTCCCTGAGCCCCTAGGCTATCCAGAAGCTGCAATACATCTGGAGCTGGTTGGCATGGTACAGATGTTGTAGAGAAGAATTGGCTATACCATAAAACTGGTGCTTCCTTAGGTCTTCGTCCCTGGAGAGAGTTTAAAGGACACGGGGAAACTGAGAAAGAGACAAATAGGCATGACTTTTTCTCCAAGCCAGTATTTGAAATCTTTAGAAAGTATCGCTTCCAGTGTGTGTTGGGATAGTTTCCTTATCTTTATTACCAGGAACTAACCTGTTACATTTGTTTATGGACCTTTTTTAGTTCCCACATAAACTAAATTGTAACTTTGTTATTGATACTTGCCACTGAGTAGCAAGTATCAGCTTTTCCGACTGAGTGTCTGACTGACCACCTGTTTTTCTCATTCAGAATTGGCAAGGTTGGAAACCAGAAGCGGGTTGTTGGTGTGCTTTTGGGATCGTGGCAAAAGAAAGTGCTTGATGTATCCAACAGTTTTGCAGGTAAAGGATACGCTTTCAGTTTTGCTTAAAATGTCTGTTTACTTACAAAAAGTGAACCTTTTTTTTTTACTACAGCTTGAAGAGCCTATTTCAGAATTGCTCATATGTAGGAAACGGAGACTAATGGCTCCACACTAGTCCAGAGGGTGGATAGTTTTAACTTGCTGTCTCTGTTGTAGCTTCCCAGCTCAGCCATTGGCATGTCATGGCAGTGTGGCTAAGTTTCAGAACAAGCCATCGGGTAGCTTGTCAGCTCCCACAGTAAACATTTGAACTCTGGCTTTGGTGGGGCAAGGAGAGAGATAGGAGACTGTTTACCTTACACTCTGTGTAACGAATCTTTACCAGAACATGACATTTATGCTCCATGTATTATTGCCAGCAGCATCTGTGACCTTTAAAAGGACCGTGCAGGAATTGAGCCTTTAGCAAGTCAGAGAGTGTGTGTCCTTTATAAGGCTCTTCTTCACCGTCCCTAAGTCTATAGAGTTTTAGGAGAAGCTGGAAATGTGGAGGTTTTGGATGAGGGGGAGGGAAGCAGTACTGCACTGGACAGGTCACATAGTGAGGCGGATGCTGCTGAGATCCCGCTGTGGCCAGACTTCTAGCTCCTGGGCAGAGTCTTTTTATTTTCTCTTTTTCCCTTTCTCCCCTTAGTACCTTTTGATGAAGACGACAAAGATGATTCTGTCTGGTTTTTAGACCATGATTATTTGGAAAACATGTATGGGATGTTTAAGAAGGTCAATGGTAAGTCTGAGTTTCTAATTTTGTGTGTGTGTGTGTGTGTGTGTGTGTGTGTGTGTGTGTTTAAACCTGGTGCTTTTGTATATTGTCAAGGACTGATTTACTTAGCTGGACCAAGTGAAAATAGACTGGTAGTAATAGAGAAGTGAGGTAGAATAAATAAACCACAGTGGTAGTCTAAGGCCATGTAGACCACGCAGGCTGGAGGCTGGGCTGGCCCTCACAGCTGCCTGCCCGAGTGCCTTAGTGCTAGCAAATTGCTAGCGAGTCTCTGGGCCACTCATCCACCACACACCCCACACAGCTGCTCTCTATGGAGTGCAAACTTGCATTTATTCATTTATTGCTCTGGAGCTGATCTGTTACTTCACATGTGACTAGTCCCTAAGCAAGTCTGGGAGACAGATGTCTCTGGGCTGCACAGTGCTTACCTCTTAGAATTCTGTTTGGGAGTTTGAGATTTCACAAATGTGTCAAGATGTATTTTTGTCTGGAATTCTCAACAAGGTAGAAAGCTGAAGTAAGTGCTGGTGCTCTTATTGCTTGTGACTCAGTTGCACAAATCTTGATGAAGCCGTAAAACTTACTGAGGTCTTGCTTCCCAGCCAGAGAAAGAATAGTTGGGTGGTACCACACAGGCCCCAAACTGCACAAGAACGATATCGCCATCAATGAACTCATGAAGAGATACTGCCCCAACTCGGTAAGTACACTGTTGTCAGACACTCTGTGATGCTCTCTGCCCCCTGCTCAAGTCAGCCTCCCCAGAAGACCTGGGTAGCAAAGCATTCTCCAAATGTTGCTTCTCCAAAGCCTTTGGCAGTAATATGTGACTCTGTTAATTTGTTGTGACCTAGTGTATTTAACGACGCCTGCTGGTGCCATGTATATGTCGGACTTAATCCTCCCAGAAACTGGATGTTGTGTTTATAAATGAGTAAACTGAAGTGGAGAATGACTAGTGGGCCAGTAAGGTGGCTGTGTGAGTGAGTAAAGGCCCTGTCACCAAACCGAGTTCTTTCTGCCTGAACCCTCAGTGGGAAGAGAGAATGGACTCCCACAATTCTGTATGTTCTGCGCGTGTGTGTGTGTGTGTGTGTGTGTGTGTGTAGCAAAATGCAGTGTTTAAGTAATTTTTTTTTTAAAAAAGCTTAAAGTATAAAATAAAGATCTGGGAAGGAGTGAAGCAGAGGTTGAAATTTTGGCCGAGGTGAAATGACTGGATCACATGAAATATAAGCTTATTTTTGCTGAACATCTGGCTTGTTTCTAATTGAATGAAGAAATTGGTCTGAGAATTCAGAAGAAGGCTTGAAGTCGTACCTTGTGTCAAAGGGGAAGGTGCTTGCTAAGCTGTGTTTTTCTACCAGGTATTGGTCATTATCGATGTGAAGCCAAAGGACCTGGGACTTCCCACCGAAGCCTACATCTCAGTGGAGGAAGTTCATGACGTAAGCTGCCTGCCTTGGGCTGGAGAGTGGGTTAGCGAGTTCTCGGGTGGGTTTGGGGACTTTTTGGTTTTGTTTTTTGTTTTGTTTTCTTTTCCATGTTCAACTCAACAAATCTTTCTCTCAATATAACAAAGCGAAGGCTGAGTCCTGCTAGCAAACCAGCCTTGAGTTTTTTAAACATCTAATTTTAGAAATAGAAAGGGACCAAAAAACCTGCGATCCTTTTTCACTAAAGAAACTGAAGCCGTGACTAGTGAGGTGAGGCTCAGAGTCATCACTAAGACCAAGCAGCCCAGTGGTCACACAGAGGCCGTCACAGCAAGGGAAAGGCCAGGCTGCTGCAATGTGCAGTGTCCTCCTGAGATTCAGTCCTTCAGACAGGCCCTGGGGTTTCAAACAGGCAAGACAGAGTTGTCAAGCGCCAGGTAGCAAGACCTGTGATCTTTGCAGGGTGTTTCATTGAGTAGAGCACTGAGCAGTAGCTAACCTTTCTTTCTCTATCCTCAGGAAAGCTGGTTGGGAACTCTTGGGTAGAACTTGATGTAGCAGGGTTTCGGGGATGGGTACAGAGTATTTATCAGGGTGTCCAGGGAGCCTGGTCTTCAGAGTCAAGAGGGATTACTGTTTTTTTTTCTATATGGTTTTAGAACTTAAAAGGAGTGTTCTAGGGTCGTGCCCTCCCAGCCTTACACTAAGCCTGTTCTTTTGCAGCTCCAAGGAACTTAGATCCAGATGTTGTTTGGTTGCAGTAAAGCTTTTATCCCTGGTCCAGACCCAGTTGTCATCAAGTTCTAGAAGCCTGGAAGGCTCAGGCCATCCTAGTACCCACAGACTAGAGTGACCTTGAGGGAATCCTCATGCCATCCCACTCCAGCAGGTCCCGTGTCTAGGGTGACTTGAGAGGCTTGCCCGTGCCCTGTGGCTCACTCAGCACAAATTGGTGGAGTCCTGAAGTTTGTAGAGCCCTCATAAAAGGGCATGGCCTGTTCTGGCAACAGGGCTAAAAGGTGTCTCTCAAGTTCTACCATTGAGTCACCAGAGGTCGCGTGAACCAGCCCCTTGGGGAGATGCTTTTATTCAAACCACTAGTTACTCTCCTTATAACATTGGGACCCCTGGGTCATGTGATCCAGGGGACAGTAGGTGGTTAATTTAAATGTGTTGGCATGAGTGTGCCTCAAGTGTGAGTATTCTGTATTTTCCATTCTAGAAATAACCAAACTCTTAACCTGAGTCTTCCCAGCATTGCCCCACCCACCAGTGTGGGCTTGAGGGAATACCACAATTTTCCTTGACAAGAAAACTTTCTTCAGAGAACTACGTAGTGGCAGTGTCCTGCAGCCCTGTCTTAGCCTTGAGGGCTTATATTTCAAAGTGAACCTAACCCCACCATTGCTGAGGAAGTCTGTCATGTAGCCATGAAACGGTCTGAGCAGCTGCAGAAGACTCGGGTATGAAAAGAGAAACGTGCAGTTGGCTTATTGAAATAAGTAACCATAGTTAAGCCTCTTCTCACAGGATGGGACGCCGACATCAAAAACTTTTGAGCACGTGACTAGTGAGATTGGAGCGGAGGAGGCTGAGGAGGTCGGAGTGGAGCACTTACTGAGGTGAGTCTGCTGGTTCTCGGCGGTTAGGGGACCCAGGGTCAGTGTGTCTCAGCCCATGTGGCAGCTCACAGCCACCTGTGACTCCAGTTCCAAGCGATCTCATGCCCTCTTCCACCCTCCATGGCCTAGGGACATATGTGGTGTACATGTGGAAAAGCAGACGTGCACACTCAGGGACAAAATAAGAAATAAGTCAGGCTGGGCATGGTGGTGCCCACTTACAATCCTAGTACTTGGGAGGCAGAAGCTGGTGGATCTCTGAATTTGAGGCCAGCTCTTTTGGGGGGAGGGGCATCAGGTGGGAGGGGTGCAGTTGGACAGTGCCAGAGTCAGCTGCGGCATGTGACCTTGGGGCCAGGTGTCATCCTGTCATGTATTGTACTTCTCTTGGTCTGGGACTTTGGTTTCTTAAGCCATACCTGAAAGACTTCATTTTCCATTAATAATACCACTAATAATTCGTGGTTTTGAAGATGACACTGACTGATTTAAGTTGCTCAACATTGTAGCAAAGCAGGTGGGAGAAACATCGTCCTTTAGAAGTCAGAGAAGCCAAGGTACTCCATAAACAGAGTTGTCTATGAGGGCTGGAGAGATGGATGGCTGGTGTTACTGAGAACCTGAGTTCGGTTCCTAGCAGCCCTGTCAGGTGACCAGCTCTGGGGGCATCAGATGTTATCTTCTGGCCTCTGAGAGTATTGCGCTCAGACACGTATGTACAAAATTAATAACAAAAGTTGCCAAAGACCCAGATTACCAGGAAGTTGTAGATCTGAACTGCTGTCCCAGACAGTCCTTACATTTGTGGGCATGTAGCCTGATGCTCTTTCTGCCTTTCTTATGGGTTGTTGCAGAGACATCAAGGACACTACAGTGGGGACTCTCTCCCAGCGGATCACAAACCAGGTCCATGGTTTGAAGGGACTGAACTCCAAGCTCCTGGATATCAGGAGCTACCTGGAGAAGGTAGCCAGCGGCAAGCTCCCCATCAACCACCAGATCATTTACCAGCTGCAGGACGTCTTCAACCTGCTGCCGGATGCCAGCCTGCAGGAGTTCGTCAAGGCCTTCTACCTGAAGACCAACGACCAGATGGTGGTGGTGTACTTGGCCTCACTGATCCGCTCTGTGGTTGCCTTGCACAACCTCATCAACAACAAGATTGCCAACCGGGATGCAGAGAAGAAGGAGGGACAGGAGAAGGAGGAGAGCAAGAAGGAGAGGAAAGACGACAAAGAGAAAGAGAAGAGCGACGTGAAAAAAGAAGAGAAAAAGGAGAAGAAATAGATCGTGTAGCTTTTTTAATTTGTAAATTAAAGTCTTATAAACTTAACTCCGTGTGCCACTAGAGGGTCCTTTGTCCCATTCAGTGCTTGTTGACAAGCGCTCTGCCCTTGTCACCCTTGCTGTGGCATTTTGTGGAGATGAATGGACAGAAGGACCGATCTCAGCCCTACACTACAGCTTCAGTTGCATGAGTTGGGGGTGTGGTGGCTCAAGTGTGTTCGATTGTATGAGAACAACATGACCTTTGGCGCTCTTCCTTTTATCCTTAAAAGGGATTTTTTTTTCCTATTTTATAAGATCCATGGGATCGGTTGGTGGTAATTTTCATAATTGCTAAATGGAATTCATGGATCCATACTATACCACCCAACACTTGAGCGCGGACCCTGCTGATCTCTTGAGACCACATGGTATCCTGGACCTGTAACTAGCGTTCTTAGGGCTTGGGGTCCAAGGCCATGTATTGTTTACCTCCACTGAGACAATTAAATGGCTTGGTTTTTACGTCTGTGTTCTAGTGGTTTGTGTTATTTTCAGATGCAAGGGAAATGATCTTCAGTTGCTGCTTCAGGGGATCCTAAGAACACCAGGCAACAGGTTAACCTAGTGTTAGCCAAGAACAGATGCTGAGAGGCGGGCCTGCCCCAGTGAGTGAGTGTATACATTAAGGAACTTGACACAGACTAGTCACCCAGCTGTCAATTCCCCTTTACTTTGTTTTTTTATTTTTTTATTTTGTTTTTCAAGACAGGGTTTCTCTGTGTAGCTCTGGCTGTCCTGGAACTCACTCTGTAGACCAGGCTGGCCTCAAACTCAAATCCACCTGCCTCTGCCTCCCAAATGCTGGGATTAAAGGCATGTGCCACCACTGCCCGGCTACTTTGTTTTTTTGAAACAAAGTTTTACTGTGTAGCCCTGGCTGTCCTCCCAAGTACTCTATCACCATAACTTAGCCTGTCAATTCCTTTCTTAAACAACTGCGACATCCTTGAGAATTCTCGTATACCCCTTGGGTTAAAATGTTGACAAATTTCTGAGTTTGAGGCCAACCTGGTCTATAGAGTGAGTTCCAGGACAGCCAGGGCTACACAGAGAAACCCTATATCGAGAAAAAAAAATTGTTGACAAATTTTAAAATGCTGTAACAAAAAAGTAAGTCAACTAAATCTTGGTCAAATGAAGGGGACTATAAGCCTCAAAGTAATCAGAAAGTTAAATTACCCATAGGGCCAGGCAGTGCACACATGGGTGTCCACAGTAGAATGTTAAGGGCTGTAGATAAAGCCTGTGTTTGGGTCACCGAAGTTCACTGAGACCCTGAGGTAAAAAGAGCAAATGACAGTTTTATCTAGTCTAGAATCCAGATGTTTGCCACCTCTTAACTGGATAAAAGAACTGTGACAGATAATGAGACAAACAGGAAGGGGCTCACTAGGGCCTACCCCTGCCTGAGGATCACCAGGCTGTGGCTGCTGGGTTGTCTTCAGTAGGGCAGCTGCTGGCATGCTGCTGTAGATAACCCTAAGTCAACTCACTGGGTCACACCCACAAGAGTCATGAAAATGGGAAGGGAGGTAATGGCTACATACCACCAAAGTACAGACATGTGTAAAAATGGCAAAATAGAATCATGCTCTCATACATGCTAGCGAAAAACTGAAGATGAGATAGGCCCCAAATCAGAGTGGAAGATTTGCCATGGGGTTGCCATGTTTAGAACATGCAGATAAATAAGAGCTTTTTTTCTCCAGAGAATGAACAAAAATAAACAGTTACGGGAAAAACCAGGATGCCATGGTCCTGGAACTTGGGGCAGGGGAAGGTGGAGAAGTCATCCAAAGAGTAGGTCCTCTATTTAGAAGTGAGGGCTTTGTCGTCTGAGCTGAGCCCACACAAAGCAGACTTATAGTGCTCTCCCAGTGTCTGGTGACATAGCATCAGACGGAAGGCATTTAGCTCATCCCCTTCTGATGAACTGGATAGTTATTGACTAAGGGGAGAGCTGTCTTGATTTCTCCTGTTTAATAGTTTGACCCACATGTGGGCATCAGGGACTGTTCCCTAGTAGGGTTTTCAACTTCCAAAGAAAAGAGACTAGTGGTTGGATCTCAGTGGTAGTTTGCTTGCCTAGCATAGGTGAAACCCTGCATTCATCTCCAGCACAGCATAAAGAAAAGAAAATATAGTGAATGGGGCAGGGACCGACTCTGTGAGTTCAAGACCAGCCTGGTCTACACACCGAATTCCACAACAGCCAGGGCTTTGAAAATGCCAAAAGAGGGTAAAACACTTGAATCCATTTTCTCAGGCCAAACTGCTGCCATCCTGTAGAAGAGGGTGAGCCTAGGAGAAGGTTTTAATAAAGTCGCTTATACAAGTGACTATGGATTTGACTGCCAACCCATGACATAAAACAAAGCTCTGTGTTAATACAATCTGGCAGTCTCAAGATTTCTGACTCAATTGTTCTTTGGGGGTGTTGAAAAGAAGGGTTCTTGAAGAATTGAGGTCCGGGGTGGGCTCTTTTCCACACAGACACATCTTAGCTACCCCTCAGTTTCCCCGCAGCAGCCCAGCCCAGCCTGTGCTGACACCTCAGGTAGAGCACTATCCCTTCCTGGGATTCTGTTTGAGCATATCTGAAATACCCCTGTGATGGTGTGCTGGTGTAGGTAAAGTGTCTGCCTGAGTCTGAGGTGTCTAGACAAGATATTTAGATGTGACCTTGCTGGTGGAAGAGTGTCAACAAGGACTTTGAGGTTTCAAAAGCCACACTGTGTTCCCAGTCATCTCAACTTGTGGTTCAAGATGTGAGCCCTCAGCTCTTAGGTTCTGGCTCCAGCTTCCATGTCCGCCACCTGCTGGCCCCGCCGTTATGGACCCTGCCCCTCTGAAACCACGAGCCCAAAGCCCAAAGCAAATGTCTAAAGTTGCTTTGGTTGTGACGTTTCATCACAGAGATAGAAAAAGAATAGGTTGTGGTTTGGTTCTTGTTTTTGTTGTCGTTGTTTTCAAGACATGGTTTCTCTGTGTAGCCTTGACTGTCCCGGACTCGATTTGTAGACCGGACTGGCCTTGAACTCATGGAGCTCCTCCTCCCTCTGCCTCCCAAGTGCTGGGATTAAAGACATATGCCAACACAGCCCACCAGTAACAGACATTTTTAATGAGAAATGGCCTTCAAAGGCTCAGATGTTTGAACACTCGGTCCTCAGTTGTGGGTACTCTGTGGGGAGGTGCTGCGGGCCTTGCTGGAGGAGGTATATCCCTGGGGGTGGGGGAATCGGAGAGCTCGAAGCTTGCCCCACTTCCAGTCCCCACTCTCTGCGTTGTGCTTGCTGTTGAAGATCTGCTCTCTCCGTTCCTTTGCAGCCTTGCCCCCCTGCCGGGTGGGTTCTTAGCCCTGTCACCGTGCCCTACCCCACTGCCGTGACAGGTTCTTATCCCTCTAGAATCATAAGGTCAATTAAATCCTTCCTCCCGAAGTTGCTTTTGGTCATGTCTTGTTTTTATAGCAACAGACAGTAACTGATAAATAACAATCCTTGAGTTTATCCTTATTGAAAAGATGAACGTTGTCAGAATTGGAAAAATGGGTGCTGAGCCAACCAACTAAACGTCCTTCTGCAATTCAGCTCAGAGTAAAGGCCAACCGGTTCTCTGATTTTTCTTTCTTTTTTAAAGACATTTGTTTTACATATTAAGTACACAGTTACTCTCTTCAGACACACCTGAAGAGGACATCAGTTTCTATTACAGATGGTTGTGAGCCACCATGTGGTTTCTGGGAATTGAACTCAGGACCTCTAGAAGAACAGTCAGTGCTCTTAACCACTGAGCCATCTCTCCAGTTCCCCTGATTTTTCAATGTGCTAGATGCAAAGTAAATCTTTCAAGGAGAAATTGGAGACTCTGGATTTTACTCCAGCTCCTAGAAGCCTCATTCAATTGAGAGTTCAACCATACACAATTATTTCTCTTCAAATAAATGGCACTGGCCCCGATGAAAATAAAATCTAGTGACCCATTAACTGCCCTAGCAGGGTGAGGGCAGTTCCCCCGCCCGTCTAGTTCCCCCGCCCGTCTACCTGTAAAACACAAGAATGAATCAAATGCTGTTTGTTAAACTTCAACATAAAAATTTAAAAAAACTCTGACTTTTTCTATGTAACAGAGAACAGCATCGACTTTCAAAAACTTAATTACTATCGTCATCGAAGGACTAGATAAGAATTCACTCTGGAAGTAGAGAAACGGAAGTGAGGAAAGAAAAGGAAAAGCTAAGGAAGCGGCCGCTGTGGAGGGCAGGGTGTCTGTCTCTAGAGCCCAGAGGAAGAGGGATCCTTTAGTCCACTTTGGCGTCAATCTGTTCTCGAACACTAGGTGGCGCCATTGACTGATCTCCCCTTTGATTCCCAGTTCAAGACAGACTTGAGAACTTCCCCTAAAGTCTTTTCAAGTCACTTCTGTTTAGAGCTGCAACCCTCCAGGAAGGATTTCGAAAACAATGCAGAGAGGCTGGATGCTACGATGGTGAAGCTGACCTTGATTGCTCTGCTGACACTTCTCACTCCGTGCACGGATATCCGCCCTCAGAGTCCAGAGGGTCCTGGTGACAGTTCTCCAAACTGGGTGAGAGCTATTGCTTTCTCGTCATTTATTTCAATTCCCTGATATAAATATCCCAGCGTGGACTCCATCCTAAGCACAGAAGCCCAAGAGATGCAAAGAATTGTAAAGTATGTCCACAAAGACGCAATGAAATAACTTGAAGTGTACACATGAACCCAAGCCAGCACTTGGGAGGTAGAGGCAGGAGGATCCGGAGCTCAAGGGCCACCTGGGCTACAATAGTAAATACAAGGCTACATGAGATTCTGCCTCAAGAAACCAGACAGACAGACAGAGACGACAGATATGCAGACAACAGAGTGAGATAATTCGGATGTGTGAGTCATGCTCTTTTAAAAACATGCTCTATTCCATTGTAAAGTTTTTTGTTGTTTTCTGTTTTGTTTTCAGGACGAGGCCTGGAATCAGATGTGTGCCAGCCAAGCTTTACAGCAATGGCTCACACCCCCTATTTTTAAGGGTATTTTTAATGGTAGTTATATCTAGCCAATAATAATAATAATAATAACCTCTTAAAATTTAACCACTAACTTTTGAAAACTCTTACCAAAAAAAAAAAAAAATCGAAGGATCACAGCAAGGGTCCCCTTTACCCCACCTTCCAAAGTCTTGGTTCTATGACCTCTGTGACCCTGTTAAGCGAAAGCTCCAAAGCCTGAAGCAATTGTTACATTTTGTTGATTACGTCTATATGTGACTGTGTGTGAGCCTGCCATGGCACACAAGCAGAAGTCAGAGGACACCTTGCAGGGGTCAGCTCTCCCCTTCCACAGTGTGGGTCCCAAACAGCAAACTCCAGGCATCAGGATTGGCAACACACATCATTACCTGCTTTGCTGTCTCCCCACCCAAGATTTGTGGGTTTTTTTTTT